GTTCCAATAGACCACGAAGAAAGACACGTGCATACACACACACACACACACACACGCACACACTTACCTGCTCTATCTCCTTCAGCTTCTTGTGGTAGTGCTCTAGTTTTTTGTGTAAGTGCGCAATAGTCTGTGCCGATTTCTGGTTCTTCTTCTCGAACACTTGCTTGATTCTGGACGCCTGCTGTTTGTCCGCGTTGTGAGCCAACTTCAGGTACTCCGCCACGTTGTCGTCACGCGCCTCCTGCTCCACGCGAATCTGCTCGGTGACCTTTAGGATCTTCTGCTGCAGATGCTCCAGAGCAGCACGTGTCCGCTGCGGCTCACCGGCCACAGCACCTTCCGCTCCCCCCGCCATGCCCCCAGACACCGACCCCACCGCCGCTGCTGCCCCCGCTCCGTCCATGCTGATGTTGGTGTCAGAGCCTCCATGGCTGGTAGTGGAGGGCAGGCCTAGAGTTGCCACCTCACTCTTGTCCAGCTGAGGGGACAAGAGGGCAGTGACTTGCTATTCAGGGGTGAAAAGAGAGCTACAACTGCTCCAGATACATTAGAGGTGTTAGTCAAACTAAGGAATCAGAGCCTCATCAGTATAAAAGTGTAAAAGTAGAGATAACAAAGGTTATTCAGATAAACGGCGCTGGAGAAACATCTTCACTGTAGCTGACTCTTCACAGACTGGGTTTTACAAGAAAAGAAGTTCATCTGCAGACATGTGGTGCCAACACAGGCTGTTATTATTGGTGTTATATTCACATAAACATTACTGTGCAAAAGTCTTGAGCCACTCCTTATATCTATGTGTTTTAATGGGAAATAGGTGCAGTGATTTACATGTGCAAACTTAACATAAATACAACACATTAAGGCAAACAGAGTTTGTACAACTCCAACGAGCTTGAAATTCAATATTTTGTTATGACCGCCTGAACTCTCTTCCTCAAGCTTTCTTGTAATTCTTGTAATTTCTTTAAGTAGCCTTCAGGGATATCCAGGATACTTGAAGGACATTCAAGGTCAGATGCATCTTTTAGGTCCTGTGTCAGGGCTTTCCTTTCCTTTCCTTTCCTTTCCTTTCCTTTCCTTTCCTTTCCTTTCCTTTCCTTTCCTTTCCTTTCCTTTCCTTTCCTTCCTTCCTTCCTTCCTTTAAACTTTATGTTAAGCATTATTCAAAGATTCAGCTAAAGAAATGGAAACAAGTTATATGCTGTTGTGACAGGCTGCTAGTAACAAAGTGCCTAGATTAGACTTATTAAAAAATCTATTATTAAATATTTATTAGATATGATGCAATTTAAAATCGGTTCTTTGCTAATGTTCTGTCACATAAAGAGACAACGCTGGTTCATCCCTTGAGTGAGATGTTGTTTTTGTTCTTGAATGACTCATAGGTACAAGGTACAAGGACTGGACTGAAAGTGAGAAAAAAAACTTTGAAAGACCTTTGGAAAGCCGAAGCAAAATATAAAGAGACAAGGGTTGGCTCAAGACTGGTGCTGTATGACAATAAAACAGTAATGCTTCGTTTATAATTAAAGTACATCATATAGGTCGCATACATAAAACACTCAGTTCATTTTTAGTTGTGTGTAATTCAAAAAATTATCTTCACAGAAACAGACAAAATGTAAAGTATTTGAATCTTTACTTTCCGCAGGAAACAAAATTTCTTCTGTTTTTCTAAACTGCAGATTATATTTTCCAGATCTCAACTGCCAGAAACAAAACACCTGAGTAACCTCAGTAAAATCACTCAACAAAATAAATAAACCTCCTTCGATGGGACTGTCAAAATGTGTCATTTTGCCCACTCGGGGCATATTAGCTTTAACCGATCTAGCGGAGAGATTAGAGACCACATAGAAAGGCCACCATGCATTAATTAGATGATGCTTCCTGCCCTGCTGAGCCTCAAAAAACGAAGAAGAAGAAGAAGAAGAAGACGATGACGATTAGTTAAGATCGAAGCAAACTACACATGTAAACCCACGAAGGTGTGCAGCACGTGGCGTGTACTTTAATGCTAAAGACACGCTGAGCGTGTATGTAAATCTATTTCTGCCTGAACGTTCGTCTGACTTTTCCTTCAGAAAAACAAAAAACATAACAGCCTGAGGATGTAATCCCTTTTACACGACGAGACCCCGCGTTGACAGATCCACGCGGGGATTCCCTGGTCAGTATTATATGTTTATGTGCGGCTTTGGCAGATGGCGCGTTTGATAATGACTCTCCGCCTGACGTCAAAACGCAGCAATCAGACCCTCAGACACGAGCTTGGGCTCACACATGACGAGAGCAGTGCTGTGAGATATTTCTCACAGCACTGCTCTCGTTTCTGTCTGCGGGATGGCGCGAGGATTTATTTTACATTATATCTGCGCGACTGCGTGAAATGAGCACGCGCTGTGATTGTAAAAGTAGGTTACAATCACGGTGTGATGGAGAGGAAAACGCATGACTGCAGCCCCGTGATGGAAAAACAACAAATCATTTTTTTTTTCTGATCTCTGAAAAAAATAGATGAATAAAAAGTGGGATGCTTTTTTGAGTGGCTATCACTCGCAGGATCAGAGGGGGTGAAGTGGGGTGAGTTGGGGTGCAATGTTACGTATGGGTGAAAACAGGCAACCAAAAAAAAAGCGCAAATCGGCATATAGCGACGGCTGCGGTGGTGCTCAAACCTGACGCGGTGTCTCGGTTTAAACGTGTAATAATAATAATAATAATAATAATAAAAGATCCACGGAGCGACGCCGTGGATGAAGCCGAGACTCCTGAAGGTCGGGAGAGAAGCGGTGAGGATGAGGATGGAGATGGCAGATGTCTATGGCGTGAAAACAAGAGGACAGGGTGATGCCTGTGCATTCTTCACTCAGCGGGAGACGCGCGGGGACGTGATGCCAGCGAGCACGCGAGGACGAGACACAAGCAGCGCAGGAAAATGAAAATGAAAAATTTTAAAAAGGAAAGAAAAAAAAAGGATATCAGAAAACGTTACCATACTGCTTTAATCCAATTTTTGCAGTGCCATTGCAAGTCTGTGTTCGAGGCCCATCCTCCTCCTCCTCCTCCTCCCTCCGCCTCCCCCTGAGCTCACCGAGGAGGAGTCCCCCCTCCTCAAATGTCTTTACCCCCAGCCGTGGGTCTGGCTAACTGTCACCTCCCTGGATCCTAACGCTCCATCGTTAACACCATCGATATCTGCAGCCTCCCTCTCCCTCTTCCTATCTCTAATGCTCCGATCTCTCTCTCCCTCTCCTTTGTGTCATATGCTCCCTCCGCCTCCCCCTGCTTCACTCTCCTACATCTCTCTCTCTCCCCCTCCCTCTCTTTCTGTCCCTCTTTCGGTCTACATGCAAATGCTATCAGTCCTGCCCTGTAATGGATGTGGGAGCTAAGGGACAGATGATGGAGGGGCTGGGAGAGCTTGGCGCAGGCGTGCAGGTGCCCCCGTGCTGATAAGGCCAGAGGAGGGAGGGAGGGGGTGGGGTGAGTGGAGGGAGGGAGGGAGCGCTCCACTCACCTAAACTAACTCCAGTACAAACACGCGCACTTCGCCTGTGCTGGTGTGGGACTGCAGTGATGTTGTGCCAAAGTACACAATGCCTCAGAGCGCCGACTCGCTCTCGTAATTTGCCTACTTCACAAAAGAGTGAAGAAAAAAAAGTGGTATCACAACAGCAGAAGCCAGTTTGCATGACTCGGCACTACTCGAGGATATATTCACCCAACTTCAGATCTCTCTGTGCCTGACGGTGCGTCAGGATGTGTCTCCGCGGAGGGACGCCCTCTAAAAAGCAAGCGTAAAACACGCTTTCATCGTCGTCTTCAAAAACAAACTTGGAATAGATTTCAAAGAGGAACTGAGAACAAAACAAGTAAAAGAACTGGAAGGTATAATAAATAAAATAGACTTCAACAACACTTGATTTTAGTGTGTTGTTATTTTTAAATTATTGTATTACTTATTGATCGTGGCCCAATAATAGCAAGAGGTAATACGTTAACACGCTTACTGGACACTTTATTAGGGTGTATTCAGCCTCTCCTTAACATAAATATTTAATTAGCCAATCACATGGCTTCAGGTCCATGTATTTATGCATGCAGACTAAGGAGCTGCTGAAATTCAAACTAAGCATCAGATTAGAGAAGAAAGACGATTTAAGTGACTTTGAATGTGGCATGGTCTGCTGTATTTCAGAAACTGCTGATCTGCTTGGATTTTGCTGCACAGCCACCTCTTTACGGGAATGGTCTGATGGTCGGAAAAAGAGAAAATATCAAATTAGTGAGCGGCAGTTCTCTTGGAGAAAATACCTCATTGGTGTCAGAGGTCAGAGGAGAATGGTTTGAACAGATAGACAACAGAAACTCAAATAACAGCCAACGTTACAACCAAACTATGCACACCATGTTGCCAGTCACGTCAGCAAAGAACAGGAAACTGAAGCCACAATTTGCACGGGCTCACCAAACTTGGACATTAGATGTTTGGATAAATGTTGCCTGGTTTCAGGAGTCTCGATTTCTGCAAGAAATCGATTTTCTGATTTCTTGCATACTTTGGGCCCCTCAGTGCCAACTGATTAACATAAAAAAAAAACACCACAGTGGCCTCCACAGTCACCAGATCCCAATCCTGTAGAGCACCTTTGGGATGTGATAGAGCATCATGGATATGCAGCTGACAAATCTCCACCAAATATGTGATGCTTTCATGTCAACATGGACCAAAATCTCTGAGGTTTGTTTCCAGCACCTTGTTGAATCTGTGCTACAAAGACTTAATGCACTTCTGAAGACAAAAAGAGATCCAACCCAGTGCTAGCGAGGTGTACCTAATAAAGCGGCCAGTGAGTGTATAATGGCCTTAATGGAGAAATGACAAGTTGTTGTACTGTTGCACAACACTGCAAGGGTTCAACCAAACTAAGGAACAGTTTTACCGCTGATACTAAAAAGTAAAGTGACGACACATTAAAGACACAAGGCGGTTCATTTGACCATTTTATTGGATTTCATAATAATTAAACAAAACCTAAATTAACACATGACATCGTATCTCACAATAAATAAGGACAGAGATTTTCACTTGTAGCCTTGAACAAAACACAATACAGAGGAAATGTGCGCAAGCATCTACAAACAGAAGTGCATTCGTTGTTTGGGGTCATTCGCTTATTTTCTCGGCTTCGGAGCATTTGTAAGCTTTCTGTTGGTGAGGGTTAGCGTCACAGTGACACCCATTCATATTACCCATAGCAGCAGGATTTGCTAATGTAGACATAAATAAGTGCCAAGAGGGAAAAAAAAGAACAAATTTAAGGCAAAAAAACCCAAAACAAAACATATCATTAGTTAGATTGCACAGTGAAAATAATAAATGTGACATTTTAGCTTAGTATACATTTACTTATGATGAAGGAACTTTAAATACCAAAAACAAATGCCAGTAAAGGCACTTGATACTGGGTGTTTATGTGCAACACTGCAGTTTAAATGATTATGCTACCTGACAATGCCATATTTAACTTTATAGATAAATCTCTTATACATATATAACTAAATAAAAGTGTTTAAGTGTTCCTAGTTTACATTATCAGTATCAGAGTCTGGGCAGCCGAAGGACATCAAAAATCAGCTGATGTAAAGTAGATGGAAAAGGATGGAAGAGGACATGATGGCACTTCTGTCTTTTACAATCTAAGCAAAGCAACTGCATGTTTGAGATGTCAGAACTCTTCAAGCATCTTCCTTTGATTAAAAGATGGTCGATAAAAGCACTGTGTACAGCTGGACATAAAAAGTATAACATACTTCGGAAAGTAAAAAAAAGAAGACGACTGGTAAACCCTTGTGATACACATGTAGAAAAAATGCTGTAGAAAAACAATAATGGATTTGAACTACGGAGCCAAAGAGCTTTGTCCTCTCAGCTTACAGACATGATGAGGCTGGATGATTTTAATCGACACATCTCCAGCGGATGTGAATGTGCTTTCAGTGCGGCTGAATGTGCAGTCGGGCAACAGTGTAAATCCACTGATTCCAGAGATTACTGTTAATCTTCTCTGCTCAAATGTCGCATTCTTGCCACTGAGGGAAAAAACACCAATCTCCTCAGAGTGACTACAGTACCCTAATTAAGTGTTTTGTATTGACGTGTGGTTGAGGTCCCTCCTGGGTGCACGGCCAGAGTCTGTGCGGGACGTGTGATTCCTGAGCGTGGCCCTGTCTGTGAGGTTCTCTTGGCATATTGGCGTTTCTCCACCGAACATCACTCGCCGGATTTGCGGGGCATCCACACTACTCTTCTTTTAGCCTGGTAGAAATCTGTTGGGATAAAGCGCAGGAATTTTAAGCTCATGCACTCTCACGTAAAATGACGAGACTTCTCGCTTTCAGCTACACGTACCTGTGATGTTCGTCTGCTTCCTCTTCAGCCCCGTGTTCTCGCCCTTCTCCGGTGTTTTCTCCAGCATCTCCTGGCTGTGCGTGCATTTCCCCGGCGTACAGGGGATGTTCTCCTTCTCGCTCTGTGCCGTCTCCACCCTCCCTCTCTTGGGAGTAACTGTCGCTGCTGACCTTTGGCCTTCAGCTTGTCCGAGATCCTGCAAACAGGACCTGTAGAGCAGAGGCACCCTAGTGCTCGGGACACCTTCCCATTGGAAATCACTGCTCTCCAGAGGCTTGTCCAAGCTAAAGTCAAAGCCCCACCGCTTTGAAGCCTCCTGAAGGTCGCTACGCATGGCAGCCTGGTACTCCACCTGTAGCTGCTCTCGGTCCACAGGCCCAAACAGGTTTCTCCGGGCTGGTCTTTTTCTCAGAACCCCCAAGATTCGCTTGTGAGAAGCCATCACTCTACACTGATGGAAACAGACAGAAGATCTCTGGTTAGAGTAACACTGATTGGCGTTTTGCTTTAAAAAAGTAGCAACAATAATAAACCAGGCATGGCATATTTGAAAGTTAATTTTGTCTCCATTAATTAAGCATCTCCAGCGATGAGACTAATCCTCCCAGACACTCGGTGCTGATGAAATGTTGCACAAGTAAAACATGCAGTGACTTCTCTGAGAGGAGAGGAACTTCTGCGCCAGTCTTATTCTAAACCAAGAAAAATGAGCTCTGTAATCCATTACAAGTGCATCCATCTCAGTTACTTGATACTGTCTCGAGTATGAAAGTAAAAAATCAGTCTCACCATCTTTCAAACCAGCGTAAAGCTCCTCAGTGAACTAACACACTGGTCTCACTGGGCAGCTTTTTATACTAAGGCAGTGACTCACTGAGCGCTCCTCCCTCTCTCTGAATCACTGGTACATGCCAGGGCATAATCTCAACCAGACATGTAAGGACAAGTCCTAAGCAGCGACCAACAGCGCAAACACCGAGAATCACCACCAGGTGGCAGTATCAGGCCCCATGCAGATTAAAAATCAGAGGCGGTGATTTGTGAATCCTATTTCCAGATCTGCAGATCTGGACGGGACTTACAAACAGCAAACACTTTACTGCGAAGGCTACAGGAAGGAATCAGGTGTGTCTCAGGTGGATGTCATTAAGGCCATCCGGGAAGTACTGGGCAGAATTCCCAGGATTTTCTTTTCAGGGAACAATCATGAGAAGCAGTTCCCATCATGATTATCCAGCTGAGAACAGCAGGAGGGGGAGAGAGTTTAATAAGTGATGAAAATAATGACGATGAAGAGAAGTGCAGATGAGGCAGAGAAGCAAATCCATCAACACAACCTGATAACTGTTCACTGGCACCTTAAGTCCATTGTTTTTTTCAACAAAGCTTTCAATAAACACGGGCTTTAAAATGACTCCTTATACTGGGAAAAACTGGGGAGCCAAAAATAAATCCAATTCACCTAGAATGAAGTAAAACATCAGAAACAAGGAAACAGTTTGGGAGAGGGTGGATACACAGCTTGTAGACACCATCCTCCTCACACCCTCCCATTTCCATCCACTCAGTCACGCGTATGACGCGGCGTGAGAGGAGGGGGCGGAGTGATTCAAGCGAGTGGCGGGAGAACGAGTCATGCCCGGGCGGCGCTGGAACCGGCTCGGACCCTGCCCAGTTTACTACACGGGTCCACGTGAGGCTGGAACTCGTGCTGGCCAAACTGCGCTGTCACTGTCTGGAGCCCTTACCACCCCTGCACACCAATGAATCATAACCACACACACACGTAAAAACAACCGTGCGGGAAGCTTTGGTAAAGTTTTGAGTTGATACACTGAAACCAGCTAAAAGACATACAAACCCAACAACAACACGGGGACGGCGGTAATCATGGAAAGGTGTAATTTATGGGATTAAACGAACAAATAAATAAATAAATTAGATTTAAAAAA